ATATTTCTTTGTTCATTGTGTTTCTTTAACTTTTCATAATGAAATGAATGAAGTTTTTCTTCTTTTCTCTCTCTAAACTCAAACAATAACAACCATCAATAATTTGTTAAAAACCGTTTTAACCTCCATACTTGATGTCTGTCAATATTCAATTAGAGGTGTAGCTGATGTGTACAAAATTTTCGGGCTCTAGTGTTCCGCAATATGAAAACGCCGTTTACACAATATTACAGTTTACTGTTTGGATTATCGATGTACACAACACATGATCAATATATAGCTTATTACTTTGGTAGCAGTAGCCCAAAATAAATAACCCAGCCCAGCCCACTACAGATAGAAAAAGCTCTTATGGGCCGCATGCTATATAGTATATACCCATTTATATAACGCTATTAGGTTTTCTTTGCTTCTTCCCAGCCGATCACTCGCAGAAGAACTTGGAAGAGGCAGAGTCGCCGTCCATCGGAGTAGCGAAGAACAGGTTCGTCTCTTTCGATATCCAGCAGTTTGCTATACATTGTTTTAGCTTTGTTTTCAGTCAAGTTATCACTTGTTTCACCTTCAAATGATCTAATCATGTCGAGGGACCTGTCCAAACGGCGATAATGCCCTTGTTTGTTACGAATCCTGCTGTACGATCATCGGCTGCGTGGCCGAAAACACAAGCTTTTTCTCGATTGTTGGCGTATACTATCACTAGCCTTACCATTTTCTATATTGCATGGTTTCATTAGCGCTGAAATTAGACAATGAGATTGGATAGATCGGCGTGTGCACTTTAATCTGAACTGTATACTTGCTAATAACACTTAATTTCAGCTTCATCGTCGGGTGGTTTAGTTTTTTTTAATGCTAGTGTTCACTCAGATAAAGTTTTTTTCCTCATTTGCGAAGATTGTTAGAGCTTAAACAAAATACTTAGAGTTACTTACATTTTTCTAATGATGAACACTGGGATCAAATTTTGTAACTGACGAAATTCACCATTTTCATATTTGGATTGAGTAGTGAAAATGGCGGAGACCAAGGCAGTGACACTCCGTACAAGGAAGTTTATGACAAACAGACTTCTTTCCAGGAAGCAATTTGTAAGTTCATATTCTAAACTGCTGCTGTTTTGATCTGTAGTAACTTAATTGTCTGTTTGGTGTAAATCATTGTTTTTATGATGAATATATCTCTTTTCTTTTGATGTAGGTGATTGATGTCCTTCATCCAGGAAGGCCCAATGTATCAAAGGTTCTAACCTCTTCTACTCTTAAGCTGTTCCATTTATGTTTGTAATTATGTTAGAAAGTAACATGATTTACTTGAAATGAAGGCTGAATTGAAGGAGAAGTTGGCAAGGATGTACGAGGTTAAAGATCCAAATTCCATCTTTGTATTCAAATTCAGAACTCACTTTGGTGGTGGCAAGTCAACTGGTTTTGGATTGATTTATGATTCTGTTGAGAATGCAAAGAAGTATGAACCAAAATACAGGCTTGTTAGGGTAACTATCTCACTCATTCTTCTCTACTGATAGAAGCATTTGTGTTATTTCTACTTATTGTGTTTCTGCAAAATTTTCCCCTTTCAATCTCTTATATGTTTTTTGGTTCTTTGTAGAATGGCTTGGATACTAAGGTGGAGAAGTCAAGAAAGCAATTGAAGGAAAGAAAGAACAGGGCTAAGAAGATCAGAGGTGTAAAGAAGGTAAGTGGTTAATATAAGTTTGAACTTTTCCAAGATAATAATAAAACACCAATTATCGAACAAAATGGATTTTTTACCAAATTGTTGCCAGTTTATTGTTTTCCAAGATGGTTGATTCAGTTTTAAAAAAATGATATCAGTGATTGACTGCTTAAATAGCTAAAAGAAGCGTAGCTTTATTGCATAAATAACTGACATTTTAGTTTTACTTGATAAAAAGTAATCTATAAATTTTATATATTTTTTGATTATGCAGACAAAGGCTGGAGATGCTGCCAAGAAGAAGAAGTAAGCATTGAGAGGTTATGTGCTGCAATTTCAAGTATTCAACTTTTTTTTTTTTTTTTTTTTTCATATCTTTAGACTTTGATCATATTGGTTATTTCCCGATGTTGAGATCAACCGAGCTTTTTTAGAGATTTATATAGCAAGAACAATATGTGTAATTTTTGTGGACTACTTGTCTAATTTTGTCTAATTTTGATGTTTCGTTCCTCTACAAAACCTTATGCTTATATCAGATCTTAATATGGTCGTATCGTCATATGTGAAAATTTCGTACGTATATTGTAATACAAATTATGATTTTTTTTGCTAATAGTTGAAAAAATTATGGTTACGAAAATTCTTAGCTGGTCTAACCAGTTAAATAGATTATGGTTAAGGCAGCTAAACATATGTAATTGAAGTTAAATAATTGGTAATAATTTTATTAAGGACTAATTACACAAACACCATCATTATTTGTCTATTTTTGCGGTTTATTTTGAAAGAAATTATCAAGTAGCCATATATAGGTTTTTTTTTTATATTAAAAGTTTAAAACCATTCAAAGTACCTTATTAGTTTAAAGTGCCTTTCTAGACATTAAGTGACTATATTTTTTTTATTTGTTATTTATTTGTTACTTGTAAATTTTTAAATAAAAATAGCCCCATTTCCCACACCCAACCCCACCCATTTAAACAACAGGTAGAATTGATTTTCCCTCTTCATGTACTTCTAGTTAAATGGTTATTGACATAGAAGCACAATGATGTTTTCCGTTTGGTTTTAAAAGGTCCTTTAATTAATTTTCGTACTTCTTACCTCACTAAAGTGACAAATTACTTGTCGTTTATACCATTAAAGCCGGTTACCCGGTAATTAAATGTGACGTGACCTTTAGATTTTAGATTTCTTCAATTAAATGACATCTCATCAATGACATGTCAACGCCTTCGTATGACTATTCAAAAAAATGGCTTTACTCATCGTGTTGAAATGTTGAAGATTTTAGGGCTTTTCTCTTCCATTTCTTTAAGTTTTCTCTCGTCTAGGGTTCTTTTGATAGTTAAAGTTCATCTGGTTCTTTTCTAGTTAAAGTTCATGGCGAACCCATACCCTATTTTCTTGAAAGTGTGTTTACACTATAACGGTGTTTTTACAAGACACCCACATAGATATACTGGAGGTGAAACGTTTATGTTTACTGATCATGATTTCTCTGGAATGTATTTACATGGGTGTTGTGAATTTCTAGAAAGATTTGTTGGAGAACCTTTTGAGAAACTTTATTACTTAGCACGTGATCTCCCTATGGCAAATGGTCTTAGGGTAATAACTAACGAAACAGATTATCAAGTGTTTATCGACGTTGTTTATCAATCACCTGAAAGGCCAATAGACCTGTATTTAGATCATATTGGGGAAGGATTTGAGGACTGGTTCGATGAAGAAAGTGATGAAAGTGGTTCAGTGAACCAGGGAAATGACAAAGAAACTGCACAAGGAATCCCCGATCCTGAACCAGCCTATATGTTTGAAGCTAGTTTGGATGATGAAATCAATAGGGAATACTGTACCCCACTAAACAAGACTAAGGACGATGAGTTTCTTAACAAGTTATGCCCGGAAGGTGGAGAAGAGAAAAAGATTGAAGAGATAGATAATAGTGAGGAATTGGACAATGATGTACTTGAGGAACATCCTATCTTTAATCCTCATGTACAATGGAAGAAGCAAGAACCAATTTTAGGCATGAGATTTGAGGATCCAAAACAACTTAAGAGCATGTTATGTAATTATGCTGTTAAAAATGGATATCAACTATGGTTCGAAAAGAATAACAATAAGAGGCTTCTAGTATTGTGTTGTAAAGGTGCTTGTACTTTCAGGCTATGGGCAAGTTGGATGAGTACAGAACACAGTTTTCAAATCAAATCTTTAAAAAGTGAGCATCAATGTGCTAGCAACTACAAATTGGGTTCAATTGTCAATTACAGATGGATTGGTAGCCACTACACCAAGGAGATTTTGCATAGACAGAAACTGACAATTAGGCAACTATGATTGGAGGTCATCAAGAAATTTGGTATTAAAGTCAGTATTAGCCAATGCAAAAGGGCCAAACAGTATGCTATGAATATTATTGAAGGTACCCTTATTGAGCATTATGTTAAGCTCCGGTCTTATGGAGAGGAAATTAGAATATCCAACCCTGGTTCAACAGTCAACATGTATGTTCTTACAATGCCAGATGGAACTAATCACTTTAGTAAGTTTTATGTTTGTTTTGATGGTGTAAAGAAGGGGTGGTTAGAAGGGTGCAGGAAGGTGATTGGAATTGATGGTTGCTTCTTGAAAGGGTATGTTACTGGTGAGTTGCTTTGTGCTGTGGGGAGAGATGCTAGGGACCAAATATACCCAATTGCCTGGGCTGTGGTATGTGTTGAAAACAAGGAAAAATTGAAATGGTTTCTGTCATTGTTAAGTGATGATCTCAATCTTGGTATGAGACAAGGTTTAACTCTTATGTCAGACCAACACAAAGTAAGCAAAACATTTTATTATTTCTCTTTCACAAAGTATATTACCCAATTCATTTCTAACTACTTGTATGTTGGTATAGGGTCTTATGGAAGCTGTCAAGGAATTGTTACCACAAGTTGAGCATAGGCAATGTGCAAGGCACATTGTGGCCAACTTCAGTAAAAAGTTTCCAGAGGCACAATTTGTTAACAAGTTTTGGTCTGCATGTAATGCAACAACAGAACAATCTTTCAAGGAAATAATGAAGGATATTGAGCTTATGAGTCCAGAGGCAAGTAACTACTTGATAGAGAAGGACCCTAGAACATGGTCAAGAGCTTACTATCAAGTTGGTAGATGTTGTTCTAGTGTGGAGAATGGAGGATGTGAAAGTTTCAATGCAATCATAGTTGAAGCCAGGAAGAAACCTATCATCACAATGCTTGAAGAATTCAAAATGTATATGATGAACAAGCTGTTCACTACAAAAGTTAATGGATGGTCAAGTGATGTTTCACCTGAAATAAAGCTGAGGTTGAATGATTTAAATATTAATCAAAGGTTTTGGGAGGTATTTCCAAGTGGACTCAACCAGTTTGAGACTAGGTCAGGAAGTGAGGCATATGATGTTGATTTAGACAAGAGGACATGTTCATGCAGGATGTGGCAACTTAATGGTTATGGGTGTATTCATTCTGTGGCTGCCATTAGCTACCTCAATAAAGATGTTGAGAAATATGTGGATCCTTATTTTTGTAGAGCAATGTATATGAAGACCTACCAGTACAAAATTTGTCCAATGAATGGAAGCAAGATGTGGTCTGAAACTAATTACATTCCACCTCTACCCCCCCAAGAATAGAAGGATGCCTGGTAGGCCAAAAACTAAAAGAGTTAGAGATGTGAGTGAAAAGGGTGGAAAGTATAGAGTTTCTAAGAAGGGTAAGAAGATATCATGTAGTTTGTGCAAAGTGGAAGGACATAATAAGAAGACATGTCCAAATGTTGATAGGTCAAGACCAAACAAGTTACCAACTAGGGTTAACAGGACTAAGGCACCAAAGGTAAATACAATTTCTTATTTATTAATTTTTTTATTTGTTATTAATTATGTTTCATTTAAAAGGGTGAAAATGTGAAGAAAAGGACTGTAGAAGTGGTAAGTGGTAGTAGGACAGGAATGGACGGTGGGGATACACATGGTAGTAGGGTTAAGAGGACTAAGACAACAAAGGTATATAAAAACTCTTATTTATTAATTTTTTATTTGTTATTAATTATGTTTCATTTAATAGGGTGAAAATGTGAAGAAAATGACTGCAGAAGAGGCAAGTGGAAGTAGGACAGGAATGGAATGTGGGGATACACAAGGTACTAGGGAAAGTGGGACTACACAAGTGACAAGGGAGAGGGGTAATGTTGTAATTCCCCAGCTTAAGAGGAGGAAAAAGAGTGAAAGGATCATCAAGAAAAAATTGGCAACCCAAGTTATAGGAAAGGATGGAGAGGGCAGCACTTCAGAAAAACCTGTCAACTTAATGTAGTTTTTGCATGGGAACTGCATGAGGTGTTTCTTTTATTATGTATTAAAAACATGTTAGGATGTTTGCTTTAAAATAATCTATGTCGGAATTGTTATGTAATTTATGGCACTCACTTTGGTTATTAATATATTATCTTGTGGGATCCAGTGTCCTTTGTGTCTTTTTTTATGCATTAGACGGTCCATTGTTTCTTGTCCCTCCTGGAATTGTTATGTGGACCATGCTATTTATTGGAATTTGTTTGTGGACCATATAACAACTCATGCATGATATTATATAAAAATTCATGCACTATAACAATTCATGCAGTATACTATCAAGGAAACCATAAAGAGCAGTTAAAATAGAATAGAATCCATGCTTTCTATTTTAAAATTAGTCCATACAAAAGGTGTTACATGACCATACGTAATGGGGCTAAAGTACATTGCCTATACTAAATTGTCAAAAGGATCATCATTTCATATACCACCATTACACCATCAAACAACACTATACACCATGCACCACTTACAAGAGCTTTAACTTGATTTCCAGCTATCTAATCACCCAATAGACCATCCCAAAAGACCATCCCAAAAGGAACATCCGCATATCCACCCTGTTCCAAAAAGCACCTGTACACCATGACCCAACATCTTACACCAACAACTACAACTTAAAGTATATGACCACAAACAACAAGCAGACCAAAGCAATCAAAACAACCTTTTTTAACATCTTCTTCAACCTTTCAATCTCAATGAGTAGTTCTTGGATCCTAGCTTCAGCAAGTTCCTTCTCAGCTTTCCTAAGCAGCTTGTGCTTTTCCACCTTCTTCTGCAGCTCAACAACTTGATCATTCCTAACCAAAAGGTCGTCAATCCTAAGTTTCATGTTCCATAACGTATCCTTGTAGTGTTTTGGTAATGCTGGGTCAAGCCACTCGAAGAAGTTGCAACCGTCGTTGGATATCTACAAAAAAAGGCCACACAATAGATTAAGAGTTTTACTGTTCAAAATTTAGGGTTTTCTCATCGTAAATGGGGTTTTTGTCGATCAAAATAGGGGGTTTGCAGTACAAAAATCAAAACTTTAGGTTTAAAACTTATCGATTGTAACGAAGGCTTACCATTGATTTTGCGCAATTGTAGAAGTGACGAACTGGGTTGTTAGGCTTCCAAGCTTCTCTGAGCTTTGACGCAGGCTAATCGCGGCATAAGCAGGGAGGATTCACTTCAATCCGGTAAATGGTGACGGTGTTATACGATTCGGAGGAGGAAGACATGGTCGAAAGGGTTGGTGTTCGTCGGAGGGTAAGGAAATAGTGAATTTTGTTCTATTGAATCCTTACAAAGGTAATATAGTAGGCTGACTGGACACCAGCTGGATATCACAGACCACGTCACATTTGACTTCCGTTGACCAACCGGGTAACCGGTAAAAATGGAGAAAACCTTAATTTGGCAGGTAATTTGTCACTTTAGTGGGGTCAGAGGTACGAAAATTAATTGAAGGACCTTTTAAAACCAAACGGAAAACATCATTGTGCTTCTATGTCAATAACCCTAGTTTAAACCTCACCAGAAACCTCTGAAAGCCACCAGCAGTCATCGACCGTTCACCACCTAATCACCATCGATTACATCTCCCCCCCTCTTCATTTCCAGTGTCAATGATGCCGGAATTACAACTATCTCTCCAAAAAAAGAAGAGAAACCACCGGACGTACCAGCATTGTTGCTGGAGATTGACGGCTATGGTTTGGTGGTGCAGGAGATCTGAGGAGTAAAGAACCATGTTTACGGAGGCTACAGGTCCATAGATCTACAAGCTATGGATTTGAGGCTACAGATCTACAAGCTATTGATTGCATCTCCTCCGTCCCTTGAACCCCGCCCTCTAAACCCTAAAATGTTACTGATCGGGAGAGAAGCTCAGACAAACACAAAACACGCACACCCGTCTGTGTGTTGGTGCGATACCGAGATAGGGGGCAAGATGAAATAACTAGTGGTCTTTTTTTCTACATGATCTAACAAGAAGAAACATAATTTCTTGTCTGTTGGTGCAATTCCATCGGTTTATTTTGCCTTTTCGATTATAGAGGAATTTGGGGATTTCTTGGAGGGATTGCTTGCTGGGTTTTTTTCAGTTTTGATTTGTTGTCAGATATTGAAATCGATTGTAAAAGAACGTCATTAGACAGCCTGTATGGGTGTTTCAGGTTCGGTTTAGGTATCTCAACACTGATTTTCGTTATGGGTATTATTTTTCACTAATGTTTGTGGTTGCCAGAGGTGGTTACCGGAGGTGACCGGTGGTGTTAAGCTCGACATGCGTCATCTATTGAATAACTATTAGAGGATGGTTTCATAGAGAGAGTAAGATGTGTGAGTAGTAATAGAAGGGGGTGGGACCAATAATATATAAATCATATTAATTGAACATCTTTGATTTATAAATAATAAATAAATATAAAAAACTGAAAAATAAAATATAAAGGGCAATATAATCATTTTATGTGCAAGAGGACGAATCATTCAAACACTTTTTTATATAAAAGACGGTCCGAGTTAATTTTTGAAAATATAGACTAAACTTCTATTTTGACACTCGAATTAGGGATGAATAGTGTAATTTACTCAAGAATTAATGTCAATTTTAATTTAAGACTCTAAGTTTGTCCTTGACAAAACTTTAAAAATGGTCCAAATTGTATGTATTTTTTTTTCGAAAAATTATCTAAATCAGAAAAGTTTTGGATTGATTGTCTATTTCAATTAGTTTGTTTGTGATTTTCGTCCATTGGAAAACTGAAAAGACTAAATGACCTCTTGATACATTTTTAAATGTTTTTTTCTATTTAATTTAAAGTTTTATTAATAATAAATATGAGGCCACCTCTTTTCTCTCTCTCTCTCTCTCTCTATATATATATATATATATATATATATATATATATATATATATATATATATATATATATAATAAAAGAACATCCCACTTGGCCCCCTTCATCTTCTTCCTCGCCCATGTCTCTTCAAGTGCAATTAAAACCACACATTACGAATGACAATTATGTGTTCTGATTGAAATTTAATGGCCTCTAAAACTTTTTCAACATTACTTTCTTTCTAAACACCAATATTAGTATAAAAAATTCTACTAGAGTCTTTGCAAATGTTGTTCAAGTCTTCATCTCTCCACTTCCATTTGTTCTTGTTTTTTTTTTCAGTGGGGCAAACACTTGACATGATGAGTTACCTGGCGACATCTTTACTTTCCTTTTCCGACATTTATGAAAGAAGCATGGAGTTTCTCAACAACATCAACTAAACCCCCCCTCACGTTCTTGTTGGAGCTCTTCCTTCATACGACCTCCTTAGTTTTTCGTTCACTTCTATTCTCCGATCTTTTCTCTATGATGTCGATGGGATACAATAGGAAACAACTTGAATTACTTCAGGCATCATTTCCATATATGTAGGTGTGTGCGTTTCCATTTCTAGATCTACAAGTATGTGTGTCTGTGTATGTGTTGATCGTGGAGTTTGTCGGAGATGAAAGGGACTTGTCGGATTTTTAGATGTGTGTGAACATTCATGTGACCACTTAGGGATTGAGCTGACATGAACTCTCTTCTATAGAAGCTACATGAAAATGACTTGGGAGACCATACGAACCCACCTAAGGGACCCCGAGCATCCTCAATGAAATCCTTTTCTTCCCATGAGTTCTCAAGGATGTTGTTCTTGCTCTTAACCCACATCAAATATTGTGAGCATTGCTCCATCGATCTCTTATAACTTTCCAAATTTCAAACTCATCTGAAGTTGAGAAAACAATATGCAAAAGGCAGTGGTCAGTTACACTTTATGTTTAGAGGGATAGTCTTATACATAGAGAGAGAGAGAGAGAGAGAGAGAGAGAGAGAGAAGAGAGAGGAGGGAGATGGATATATATATATATATATATATATATATATATATATATATATATATATATATATATATATAAAGAGAGACAGAGAGAGAGAGAGAGAGAGAAAGAAAGGCGGGTATGTGGGTTCTTATCTTTATTTAATATAATAAGTACTTATAGAAAGAAAATTTGAAAATTAATGTAATAAGGGCAATTTAGTCATTTCGATTTTCGGAGGGACCAAAACCACATACAAACATGCTCAAAACCATCAATCCAAAAATTTCATGGTTTGGATCATTTTCCGAAAAAAATGCATACCATATGGAACATTTTTGCAGTTTTTTCTTTATACTTTCTTCAACTTTAGATTGAAGGAAAAAAGAAGAGGTCACACTAATAAAATAAAGTAATGATAGTTTATCTTATTTACTTCTTTTATATTTTAGCATTTTTAATATTTTTGTTGTTTTTGCATTGCATATTTTATCTTTTCTTTATCTTGGATCGTATCGGGTGCTTTTTTCTTTTGCATAAGGTGTTTTGCAGGTTTTTGGAGCCTTGTTGTGGTTGCAGATTACCTTGTTGCTGAGTTGATGGGCTTTGTGGACCTTTGAGGAGCTATTGGACTATGTCGGATCCATTTTGGAGTGTTTGGGCTTCATGTGTTGAAGACTTGGATGGGTCATGGATTCTTGAAGATGGGTTTGGACTATCCATTTAAGTGCTAGAAGATGATTGTATTAAATTTGAAGCATGTGAGGTGTGAAAGAGACCAAGGGAATCTAATGTAGTGGAGTGGAGTGGTGGAGGAATAAACCAATAAGAATTCAACATCCTGTACGTGGGTGAGGTCTCAACCCGCGGATCTCTACGTGGGTACCCGCGCACCTCCTTCCCAAGGATATTTTGGTCATTTGGCTCATCATTTACCTTGGGGGTTAGGTATTGCAGCCCCCCTAATTCGAAAATACCGCCATTGGAGCAGTTTTGGGTGATTTTGGAGGGCAAGGAGCACTCATCATCTCATTTTTCTAGTATTTGCTAAATCTTTGATGTTTAAACACTTTTGTGATCATTGTTTCCATGAGTGGCTAGACACTTTATTTTGGTTGAGTTGGGCTAAAACCCCTGGATATTTGTGATTTTTGAAGGATTCAAGTATGTTTGTTATTTAGCTCATGTTTATGATTCCTAATTCTTCATTCTTATTGAATTTGTATAAAACAAGAGCTTTATGATGGTAGAAATCATCTCTAGCTTATGGGTCATGACTCCTTTATGGTCGTGTAAGCATTGACATCCTCTAGGAATTGTGAATTCCTTCATTCTTAAGGCTAATCAATTTTCTTGGGTTTAATTGCTTCAATTGAATCCTTGACTTTGATTAAGAAGGAGTGTTGTGGAATTCCCCAACCTCCATACTACCTTTAAGGATTTTGGAATATCATGCTTTATGATTGCTAGAACCAATTTGGGTTGAATTATAAGCTTACATATTGAAGTCTAATGATGCAAAGACAAGTATTCATGGTGGTGAATTGCCTTAGTTGACCAAGTTTCTTTAATATTTGAGTATCTCACCATCTTGAAACCATTTTAAATCCTTCAAGTCTTTTAGTTTTCAAACAAATCACAACCCCCCTTTTAGTTTAATTTTAGTTGATTAGTTTTATTTCAGTTGTTCATTTGGATTGGATTGGTAATTGAATACAACCATTTCCCCATGGATTGATCCCCTTTTTACCATTATATTACATTTTATTTGCAAGAAAAATGGTGAAATTTGCTTGGTAGCTTGACATACCACCAAGTAATGACAATTTTTGTTTGTTTATTCTCAAATTTTTGAGTTACAGGGTTAAAATACTTGTTTTCTCTTAATATGAGACATTTATATTGTAACCGCTTCTTTCAGATCATGTAAAAAAAATCTAACTATAACTATGGTTGGTATAAACTTGATAACACACTCTAATATGTAAACACGACTTGTACAAAATGTGCCCCCTCAAACATATAAAAAATAAAAATCCTAAACTAGTTGATAATAAATCTTGAAATTGAGCTAAAATAAGTTAAACTAGGAGGTGATCTCGTGGTCAATCATGGGACGTTTTTTTTGGGATTTGTTGACAAATTGTGGTATAAAAAAGATTAAATTCATGTAGTAGCAGATCAAATGTTAAAAGCGATACGGTTTCCTCATAT